TCAAGACCATGATTGGAAAAAGCATGGAGACAACTAGCCAAACTAGTGGAAACACATGAACTGTGGACCAATAGCTGAGGAGCCCCCATGGTACTGGACTAGGCCCTCTGGATAAGTGAGACAGTTGTTTAACTTGAACTGTTTAGGGAGCCCCCAGGCAATGGGACTCCATGAGCTGGCTTTTTGGAACCTAGTGCCTATGGTGAGACACTTTGCTCAGCCTTGGTGCAGGGTAGAGGGGCTTGGACCTGCCTCAACTGAATGTACCAGGCTCTGCTGACTCCCCGGGGGGGGACCTTGCCTTGGAGGAGGGGATTGGGGATGGATTGGGGTGGGGGGAAGGCTGAGGGACAGGAGGAGGGAGGACAGGGGAATCTAAGATTGATATGTAAAATGAATAGAAGATCTCTTTAAAAAAATTAAAAAAAAAAGAGTGTTCAAACATCTCTTCTACACATTGGTTTCTAACATTTTTGGCATGGTAAATAGAGCTGACTGTTGAGTAGAACGTGGCTTGGAGGGTCATCTCAGAGGTTCATATCATGAACTTTGCAAATGTTTGAGATGGTGAGTGGATTGTTTGAATCTTGTCATTCCACGTTATATGCAGAAGTCATAACATCACTTTCTACACCATAAATATCTAGAGCTGCAATTACTATATATGAGATAAAATATAAGAACTACATGGAATAACATGGCTTTACTGGTTTCAACTGTGTCATTGAAAAGTGTGACTGAAGCTGATTGAGAAGTGGGCGAGTAGGCAGCCTTTTCCCCCAATTCTTTTAGATGTCTAATTTAAAACATACAAAGATTACTCTCTTGCTGCCCTCTGCTCTGGTCATTTACTTCCATAAGCTCATAGAGCTGGAAAAGAAATAGATGGGGGGGGGATGTTGTTCTTTGTTATTTCTCTCTTTAGAGTTTATCACTCACCTTGTTTAAATGTTGACTCTCAGCTTAGCTATTGCTTTTAATTTACTGTGCCAAGAAAAATCTCCTGTCATCCGGCTCTAGCGAATCCACAGTATAATAAATTCTAGTGTCTGTAACAATCATGACAATCTCAGAAGTCAATTCATTACAATACCTATGACATGCCCCACTTATCTGTGTTCTTTGATCTTCATGCTTGCTTGGGTGTTTTTTTGTGCTTTTGGAACATTCCAGCTATTTATTTCTTCACAAAATTCAAAAGCACTTCAAAAGTTCAGCTCAGCGCTTGCTTCTCATTCCACTTCAATCCCCAGCTTTCTGTGGAAGGAAGACTGCCTCGAGGCCACCATTCTTCCTCTCACTGTGAAGGCCCTTCAAGTTTAAAGCATTATAGAGGATGTGTGGACACTGTTCTGTGAAGCTACAATCCCTGTCTCTACAAGGACACCTTCTTTACCTCCCACCAGTTGTGTTGAAGCCCAAAGGTCTCTGCATATTTGTTTTAGGAGCTTTACGATTGCGAGCAGAAAATGCTATATTATCTTTTTCAAGACCCTATGTTGAATCTCTGTGTATCTGGGGAGTGGTCTGTTTTTTGGGATGCAGAATGTAGATTTCAAAATTATAGGATGAGTAAAGTGATGGTAGAAATGAGCAAAACCACTCAACACTAAGGCATCCAGGTTGCTGTTTAACGAATGAACTGATATTATTTTGGCAGCATCTAAGAACTATGTAAAATGTGAAGTTATAATTTTTAAGATTTATTTTTGGTATATTTACAAGAGAGACAAGTTGATTTCCCAGGATTCAAAGCCACAGCTTCACCAAGACCCTGGCCCCAAGCTATTACTGGCTTTGCCAAGGATGTTCATTACTTTATTTAAGGAACTATGTTCCTTCTCCATACATCAAAGCCAAGAAAACTTTGGAACAATCTGGCTCTCAACAAAACACTCATTCACTGAGATGAGTTGTGTCAAAATGCAATCTTCTCTTACTTACCTGTTTCCATGTCTCCAGTCATGTTTGTTTATATAAGTTTGTCATTGTGATTTTTTTTTTAAGACAGAGTCTCACTATGTAGCTCAGGCCTGTCCTGAACTCACTATGTAGACCAGGCTGGCCTTGAACTCACAGAGATCCACCTGCCTCTGCCTCCCAAGGGCTGGAATTAAAGGCGTGTGTTACTATGCCTGGCTGTCATTGTGATTCTTAAGTACAGCAGAATGGCCCCTGAGACTATGAGGTGAGGTTTTGTACTTAGACGTAAGTTTGTTCTTTGTCATGCTCTGCAACCATCTCACTGGCTTTACTCTCTATTGGCTCCTTCTGTAATCAAGGCCCTCTATATATACAATTTTATGTCTTGAGTAGTGATCAAAGGCCATTACTGCTAGCAGGGACATTCAGTGCAGCCCAGTCAGCTGAACCTATAGACCTGTGTAATGTAGCCCCAGACAGCACTTGTCTGGGTCCAACAGCTACGGCACAGTGGTACAAGTGAGACAGAGGTCCAGACAGAGAGGTTATCCAGGAAAAAGCACACCGGTGTCTGGAGGCTGGGGTTCATGAGGGAGAGAAAAATAATGGAGGTGTTTCCCACTGAGGTAAAGATGTAAGAGACCAGGACCATGACAAAGAGGGGCATCTCTAATGGATGAACTGAGAAGACCAATAAGGCAAATGCATTGGGGAAACTCACATTTTGTCCTTCCGTTGACACCTGCATTATTCATGACTGGATGGATCCATATGGATTATTAGGATAAATAAGACTTTTCTGCTTTAATAACTCCATGGTAAAAACCTCAAAACTCCATATGTATTGGTGTGCTGGATAGTTTTATGTCAGCTTGACACAAGCCGAAGTCATCTGAGAGGAGGGAACCTCAATTAAGAAAATACCTCCAAAAGATTGGTATTTAGGCATGCCTATAGGGCATTTTCTTAATTAGTTATTGATGCAAGAGGGCTCAGTCCATTGTGGGTGGTGCCATCCCTGGGCTGGTGGTCCTGGGTTCAATAAGAAAGCAGGCTGAACAAGGCATGGGGACCAAGCTAGTAAGCAGCACCCCTCCATGACCTCTGCATCAGTTCCTGCCTCCAGGTTTCTGCACTGTTTTAGTTCCTGTCCTGACCTCCTTCCTCTTAGGTCTCAAACTGAAAACAAATGGCTAATTGAGGACCCTTTAACTTATCAAAACATATGCTGGATTCCAGGGTCTCCCATCATCCCTCAGTATCTACCTATGCAGGGCTCTCCTGCCCACCCCCTTCCCTGTGAACCCTTTCTACCTGGGGAGGTCATGAAGTAGAATTTTTTAATGTATGATTACATTAAATTCCCTGTTAACTGTATATATAACACAGAGTTTCATTGTATTAAGTGCATTTATATGCTTGTTCAGTTCTTGCTGCCATCTGTATCTAGAATCTTTGGATTTATCAAACTGAAACTAGACCCAATAAATAATCTCTCCATGTCCACCCCAATCCTAGACCTTGGCACCCATCATTCTCCTTGTTTTATGTGAACTTTGACTAGTTTCAATGCCTTAGAAAAATCCCATAAGTCAGTGTCCTAGGGTTTTATTACTGTGGAGAGACACTATGAACATGGCTAGCCTCATAAAGGAAAAATTTTAATGGGGGCTGGCTTACAGTTGCAGAGACTTAGTTCATTGTTTTCATGGTGGGAAGCAGCGGGGGGGGGGGGGAGGTTATGCACATAGACATGGTGCTGGAGAAGGAGCTGAGAATTCTACATCCAGATCAGCATGCAGCAGGAAATGAAGTGACACACTGACCAGGCTTGAGCTTCTGAGACCTCAAAGCCCACCCCCTCATGATGCACTTCCTCCAACAAGGCCACACCTGCTCACAGTGCCACTCCCTATGGGGGGGCATTTAATCAAACCACCACACATAGTATTTAAAATTTTGTCATTAACTTGTTTCATTTACATTATGTCCTTATGTATTAGCTAAAATTAGAGACTCCATTCATCTACATTCTCAGTCAGGCTCTAGAGTCTTTGATAATGGTGTCTTGTCCCTAGATTTCCCTCTATAACCCTCTAATGCAGACCTTGATATTTCTGTACTGATTTGTCCACTGCAGCTGTGAGACCACGGGAACTGTCTTTTCCTAAACATTTTAGTCAATTTCTTTTGAACTCAACCTCTCTCAAATTTTCAGGACATAGAAAAAATACAGCCAGAGTCTTCACCAGAACGTAGCATGAATGGCCTCCAGTCCCATTCTCCCAGAGTCATTCTTCCCTCTGAAACTTCATGCTTCAGACCTTTGTTATCTTCATTCCTCTTAGAACTCTGGTATTGTCCTTCCCCACCAGAAATGACAATTAAGCTCTGTTCACAGCAGTCTATGTCATGGATTCTCTAACCCTGAACTCTTCAGCTTTTACATCTCCTTTCAACAACCCAGTTTCAGTAGCCTACAAAGGGCCTATTTATCATAGCATCAGCCCCAGGCCTATGCAGGAATTTTCTGCATTGGCTGCTTTTCTCATTGCTTTGGTAAAATGCTGATGCAAAGCTACTTACAGAGAAAAGGTTTCCTGGGACTCACAATTTGAAGGTACAGTCTAGTCTAAGCAAGGGTAGGGGGTGGAGTGGCAGGTATTTCAGCCTAGTGTCTAGATCTTTGGATGGGACAAACCACTTTCAGAATGAGTCTTCCCCATGTCAACCTCTCTGGAAGGCCCATCACAGACAGGACTTAGGTAATTCCAAATCCATTTAAGCTGACGATGAAGATTAATCACCACACCTTGGAAATACAATTCTCCCCCTTTTCCATTCTTCTGTGATTTTCCTTTCTGTGTGTTTACTTTCTGGTGTCATTTTGTCACTATGAAACACTGCTTCTCTGCTGAGTCTGCCTGAAGTGTAAACATATGCACTTCTTTTGTCTTTTCTGAGACTGACCCTTCTGGGCATATACCTTGAATAACTTTTTAAATTTTTGTTTACATAGTTATTTATCTTTTAAGGAACACACCTATATTGCACATATCCTGTTGGGGAATAGATGTATGGGGGCTTTTCCTGGATTCTACCTTCCTGTCTCTGCTGCAGATTACTGTAAATACAGAAGACATGTGAGAAGCAGGTTCTACTGTATCCAAGATAGAAATGCACGTCTGGGTGAGAGTGTTGACCTCAGCAAACGCTACACTCAGCTACAAATGGTCAAGGAGCATCCCAGCAAGCAAGAGAGGGAGTATGAACTACTGACCATTGGCAGGACCAAAATGTGGGACAGCCCCATGAGTTCCATTAAGCTGGAGTTACTGTTTGAGCCTGAGGATAAGCACACAGAGCCTGTGCACACAGTGGTGTTCCAGGGAGCAGCAGGCATTGGGAAAACAATACTAGCCAGGAAGATTATGTTGGACTGGGCATCTGGGAAGCTCTTCAAAGACAAATTTGATTATGTATTCTTTATCCACTGTCGAGAGGTGAGCCTCAGGACACCAAGGAGTCTGGGAGACCTGATTGTCAGCTGCTGGCCTGATCCAAACCCACCACTGTGCAAGATCCTGCATAAGCCTTCCAGGATCCTCTTCCTCATGGATGGCTTTGATGAGCTGCAAGGGGCCTTTGATGAGCACATTGGAGAGGTCTGCACAGACTGGCAGAAGGCTGTGAGGGGAGACATCCTGCTGAGCAGCCTCATCCGAAAGAAGCTGTTGCCCAAGGCCTCTCTGCTCATTACAACGAGGCCGGTAGCCTTGGAGAAACTGCAGCATCTGCTGGACCACTCTCGCCATGTAGAGATCCTTGGTTTCTCTGAGGCCAAAAGGAAGGAGTATTTCTTTAAGTATTTCTCAGATGAGCTGCAGGCCAGGGAAGCCTTTAGGCTGATCCAAGAGAATGAGATCTTCTTTACCATGTGCTTCATCCCCCTGGTCTGCTGGATTGTGTGCACAGGGCTGAAGCAGCAGATGGAGACCGGGAAGAGCCTGGCCCAGACCTCCAAGACCACTACTGCTGTCTATGTCTTTTTCCTCTCCAGCCTGCTGCAGTCCCGAGGGGACATGGAGGAGCATCTCTTCTCTTCCCACCTACAGGGGCTCTGCTCACTGGCTGCAGATGGAATTTGGAACCAGAAAATCCTATTTGAGGAGTGTGATCTGAGGAAACACGGCCTGCAGAAGACAGATGTCTCTGCTTTCCTGAGGATGAACGTGTTCCAGAAGGAAGTGGACTGTGAGAAAGTCTACAGCTTCAGCCACATGACCTTCCAAGAGTTCTTTGCTGCTATGTACTATTTGCTGGAAGAGGAGGAAGAGGGGGTGGCTGTGAGGAAGGGACCAGCAGGTTGTTCAGATCTTCTGAACCGAGACGTGAAGGTCCTCCTAGAAAATTATGGCAAGTTTGAATTTTTAAAAACACAGCGATATGGGAAAAGTGATATCCAACAGTATCCAGATATTCAGACTAGATTCAATTGGGTGTGAAAAGACTTTCCATCCTGAAAAAAAACCAACAATGTCTTGCAAATAAATGCCATCCACGTGGCTGCTTTTCATTTAGACTTGCTTTTCTTTAAGGATGGGTAGCTTTTCACACTCAATTGAATCCTGAGTGCTTTGAAATCTGGAAAGCCTAGAGCAGAATGAATAAGGACGAAGAAAAGGTGATTTATAGATAGCCAGAGCCATGTGACAAGGGGTCCCGGACGCCTCCAGGAGCTTGTAGCTCTTAGTATGAATGGGACCAGGAGTCACTGGAAGAGTAAAGCTGGGATTACTGATCCAGCCCAGAGCGATCTTCAAGACTGAGCTGGTGGCTCAGGCTCAAAATAGCCTGGGAATTCTTGGATGTAGCCAGCTTGTGTTAGTTAGCGAAAACAAAACACTATCGATTAGGTGACTTAAACAGCAGGAGTGTATTTAACCACAGCTCTAGAAGGCAGAATGTCTAAAACGAGGCTCGGCTTATTTAGTTGCTGGAAAAGGGCTCCTTTTCTCTTGCAGAGGGCTGTTTCACCGTGTGCTCACACTCCAGGTGAGACAAGGAGAGATCTTGTTCCCTGATGTAAGGGTTCTAATCCCTTCACAAGGACTCTGTCCTTACACATTCACCCAACCCCAGTCACCACCTGAACACCTTACCTATCACCACATTTCAGGATAGGACTCCAACACACTCACATTTTGAAGGTGTGCAAACATACAGTTCACAGCTCAACCAGACACTGTTGGAAAAGATGTAGGACCAGTGGTCCATTTCCTTAGTTAACTTTCAAGGAAATGTTAAGAAAGAAGGTGAATTCAGTACTTGAGCTGGCTGTGGTGGCTCACACCAATAATCCTAGCACTCAGGAAGTGGAGGTAAGAGGATTTCTAATTTTAGGAACAGCCTCACTACATAACCAGATCCTGAATAAAAAAAAAATGTGCAGACTAATTGAGAGGCATACCAAGAAATTGCAATGTGTAGATTTGTAGGAGATCTCAATTAGATAAACATATTGTAAAATATTTCCAAGACAATTGAGGAAATTTAAACATACACTGGACACTGATAGTAAGGTATGAGAGAACATTGCAGTTATCTTGTAAAAAGTGTTGGTCATTAAATATTACACAGTGAAATAACTATAAATACATGGAGTCAAGTCATCCATTCAAGTAGGTGTGGGAGACCAATAGACTTTAAGCATGGTTGGCTATGAACTGCTTGAACTGTTGAACCTGAGCAAGGACAAGATGATCCTGGCCTCAAATTCACTAAGTAGCCCAGGCTACCCTTGAACTGTGGTATTCTTCCTGCTGTAGCCTCCCAAGTGCTCCCATTATAGGTCTACACCACCACACCAGATGAGCTGACATTTTAAAGGCCCAGTTCCCAGTTTTCTGACGAGTCTAACCCAAAGCTTTCTTTCTGTTTTTACAGGTTGTGTGAAATGTATTTTAATTATGAAACAAAACATGCCTTAGAAGCGCTTCAGGAAGAAAAGCCTGAGCTGACTATTGTCTTTGAGCCTTCTTGGTAGGCTTGGAAACAGGACTGTCAGGTGCCAAGGCCTGCTCCGTGCCCCAGAGCATCCCATCCTTCACGGTTATAAACGCTCCTCCTCCACCATCAGGACCACAGCCAGGGTTGTTCCAGTGCAGGGTCTGGAGCAAAGGCTCATGTGGGGAGCCGAGCATGTTTTCCCCAGGGAAGACTTCGATAATGTGAAACTGCGGGGGGGATGCAGTTCCCATCATGTCCTCAGTCCTCAAGGTGTTCCCTCTTGGTGACCTCATGGAACCAACTTATAGAACATTTTCTATAAGTTATCCTTTTCTCCTCCAATGCTGTTTTTTTTTTTTAAATCTCCTCTTCCCTCCCTCTTCCCCCTCATTTTCTTCACATTTGCTCACATCATTGTTTTTGTTTTTCTGTTAACTGACCGTACCTTATAAGCAGCTGGCTGTGTGCTGAATGGCAGGTTTGTGGTAGCCACTTAGCCACTCATTTGTTTTTATTTTTATAGTTAGGTCTTTTTGTTTAGCTACCTGAAAATCCAGAGATTTATAAAAATCTATTTTTATATTTATTGTATGTATGTACTACTTTTTTAAATTTAAAAATATATCTGGAATTCTTTTAAGTTATTTGTCCAAACTACTAAAAATAAATCACTTTAAACATTTAAAATACCTTTTTCACAAAATGATTCATTCAACTTTGGTTAATGAGGAAAAAAATGCCATTGGAGGCAGGGTTTCAGCTGTACTAGAGCCGAGGTCAGCACTGCACGGGGGAAGGTTAGATCCCACGGAGAAGTGATCCCAGGACATTCTCAAATAGAAGGATAACACAGAAAATGCAACTTGCCTGTGGTTGGCAGCAGCTCACCTGGGGTTTACCCATTTGAAGAGCAGCTCCTCTTCCTAAGCAGGACAGACTACTGAATCACCAACACACACCGAAGTCCTCTATGCTTAGCCTGTGGCATTACGCATCCATGGAAATGGATATTCTAAGGGACCTCTATTGCTCCAAGTACCTTTGCTGCTCTACACCCGGTGCTAGAACTTGAGAATAGGCGCTTTTTATTATATTTCATCCTTTGAGGACACAGAAGTTTGTAGATATTTAGACTAGATTCAATTGGGTGTGAAAAGACTTTCCATCCTGAAAAAAAACCAACAATGTCTTGCAAATAAATGCCGTTCATGTGGCTGCTTTTCACCTTGCCTGTGGTTGGCAGCAGCTCACCTGGGGTTTACACATTTGAAGAGCAGCTCCTCTTCCTAAGCAGCACAGAGTACTAAATCACCAACACACACCGAAGTCCTCTATGCTTAGCCTGTGGCATTACGCATCCATGGAAATGGATATTCTAAGGGACCTCTATTGCTCCAAGTACCTTTGCTGCTCTACACCCGGTGCCAGAACTTGAGAATAGGCGCTTTTTATTATATTTCATCCTTTGAGGACACAGAAGTTTGTTCAGGGTTCTGCTGGGTGGTTCTTCTGTCCAGTGTTGGGGGTTATCAGGCTGGAGGACCCAGCCCCATTCAGGAGTTGAAGAGCTGGCTGCTGGCCTGGCTCACATGTGCGCTGCAGTCTCCCCAGCATGGTCAGTCTTACAGATAATGGACATCTTGGTGACTCGGGGTACCCAAGCAATCACTAAAAGTTGCCAGGTATCTCACAACTTTGTCCAGGAAGATCTAAAGAATCTTTCACTGAGTTCAAGTGGCAAAGCAAGTCACTAAGCCTAGTCTTCACAAAATAAAGAGAGTTTGAGATTGCCAGTTACCACATCTCAACACTCAATTCTCGACAATTCTCCACACTCAAAAGTGTGCTAGAATTAGGTCAAGTCATTATATTGATATATGCACTGATTCTCTTTTTGGATGATTCTTACTATGCTCATTTATTGACTTGTGGCTTGGGTTTGTACCATTGCTTACGACTCTTCTATTCCTTTAAAGCGCTTCAGGAAGAAAAGCCTGAGCTGACTATTGTCTTTGAGCCTTCTTGGTAGGCTTGGAAACAGGACTGTCAGGTGCCAAGGCCGGCTCCG